CCCAGAGTTTCTTCCAGGCATCTCTTGGGGGGGAAGGGTGCTCTGCCCCCCCCCCCCCCCCCGAAGAAAGTCTATCGCCCCCCCCCCCGAACGAAATGGAATATATATAGAAAATATATACTTTAGACAGTGTCCGCCCCCCCCCCCCCCCGAAAATTTCAAGTACACCCCCGGAGAAAAAAGTCCGGAAGAAACACTGGTGCCTCCGACCATTATTGTTGACCTGGAAAACAAAAAAAACTGTTTTGGTAAATTTTGTCTTTATATGTGAGTAAAAACAAAAACAACAAGCAAACAAATAAACTGAAAATTGAAAAAAAAATATTTAGAAATTCTGTATTTAAAAAATAAATGCGTTAAAAGCTGCAAATGTAGAGACCTTGAAGTTATTAGTATTGTGTATAGGCTGCATTTCTATTTATTTACAAGCACCCGAGAATTCTAGCTGAAGTTTCATGGTCCGTAGATTTTATGTTGGTAAACACCACTTTTATTCGAAACATTTCTGGTAAAGTTTATTTCATAAACAAGGCGACAGAAACAGATGAACACTACCCCACTTGTCCCATGGACCTGCAGGTTTGAAAGGAAACTTTACTTACTTAATATTTTTAATAAACATTGTGACCTACTTAGGTCTGATAATTTTTATTTTTACATTTGTTACTTTACCATATATGGTCTGTGGTGTAATCACTGGTTTTTTCCACTGTCTTAAGAAAGTCTTAGACTCAGTACTTTTCCATTATGAGATGATTGGTTGATTCGGACCAGGTGATACCCCAACCAATAGCCTTATGATTTGAAGGTGACCTTCCATGTTGCCTAAGTCGATAAATAGACCGCGCACAGGTTTCTCTGGGCAGTTTCTTGACCAGACATCTTTGAGAGATAATAAGCCCTGTGTGTCACCGTGTAGTACTAAGTAGTTTAAGCAGCATATTCTTATATTACTTGTGGTTAAGTAATTCTTTATGCTTATAGCAGCGTTGTGTAAACTGTGGTGATTTTTCTGAAGTGTTAAAAGCTGTGATAGTGTATCATATTATTTTTTCCCACAAATTGTAAGTTGGGTTTTGTTCATTCTGTAAATCTATTTTATCCTGTATAAATCTAGTGTTCTGCCACGACTTTGTACACTCATTAAAAGTTATACGCAGATTAAATGTATTGTTGGCATCAGTAGTTTCTCTAGTGTTTCCCCTAGACATCAAGTACGAGTCCTAGTAAACTAATGTGTTAGCTTTCTTTTATTTAGGCTTGTCGCCATCTGTGTATAATCATTTAAACGAATCCGGGAGCGTTCGCCTACTATCTGGCTGATAGAGTGGTGTTTCGTTACAACATATACCATTGAAGAAAATATAACATGACATGTTTGTTTACATTTTCAATGAGAAAATTGCAGAAAGAACAAAAAAGTTAAATCCCACGCTTTAGTAAAAAAAACGCCCAATTAAGGATCTACAACCAAATGTATTATAGAAACAGTGCACATTATTTTTTTTAAAATTTAACTAATTGGCCTTTCATGACTGTTCCCAATGAAAGCCATTAATTAACTATAACGATAACGTTTCAAATTAGGTTCAATGATGTAGCTATCATTACGTGATAGATCGGGCTTAAAATTTGTGTAGGAATAAGGTAAGGCACTATTTAAGGCTCAAAGTTGACGTTAGTTTTCTATTTATATTAGATAAATAAAACGCGTTTCATCCTTTCCTTCCACCTCTCCTTACCCTGATTTTATCATATTAACTGAGTTGAGCAAATACCTAACAAATAGACGGTCTTAACCCCGATGACAAGTTACCCCGAGTTTCTTTATAAAGTTACATCCCTACGTGGATTCCGAAAATAGATGAAGCCGATCTTAATGGTGCGAGGATGTCTCATGAGCTGTCGCTGTCCTTTTAAGCAGATCGTTCACCTTCCAGGAATTGCCGTTTATGATTTAGTATTAAAAGTAACAACAACTATTGCGACAAATATTAGTACATATATTAAAACAAATATTGGGACAAATAATAGGGCAAATATTAGGACAGATATTACTACATATATTAAGACAAATATTAGGAGAAATAATAGTACAAATAATAGGACAAATATTACGACAAATATGTATTAGAACAAAAAAAAATGAATGACAAGAATGATCTCGGATAAATATTTATTATGACAAATATTTATTATGGGAAATATCCGGATAAAAACTTTGACGAATATAAAGACTATATGTCTAGCGTTTCTTGATTTAGATTTTTATATCAGTCTCCACATTAGCGGAACCTACATTTAAAAAAAAAAGAGATATTAAAGTATAAACTAATACAAATTGCTAACGATATCCCTAACACAACCAAACCCAAAACTAAAATAGTCCTAATCCGTGGTGTGTAGTGTATACTTATCCTGAAATATTCTACACGAAACCTAAAACATCTATTTTCGGACAAGCCCATTCTTAAACAGTCGCGGTAGAGATAGTCTCAGTTCCATGATGGCGGATGTGTCGCTATACGATAACCTAGATGTGCTTGGCAAGACATTGGCCGTATACGATAAATACAAAACGTATTCTAAGTAACCTGAGATTCATTAGACCTCTGTTGCCAGCATTTGAAAGAAAACACAAACAAAATTCAATGTTTTTTAGACGATTCAAATCATTTTATCATCCTAACATAATTAACAATGTTGATAATCCTATTATTATTAACAATGTTAATTGACTACTACTATGTTTAAATAATTTTAAAATGTGGGGTAGATTATAAACCTAGAACTATTCAACCTTACAAACTAACTTAGCTATAATTCAGATATTTCCAGGATTTTTAGGAAAGTCGACAAAAAAGAAGAATCAGGAAATTACACGAAAACGATGAACCAGGAAAATATTTCAAGAGAGTTATTTTAGGGTAAGAGTATGAGTGGGGCGGATTAAGTAAACACTATATTAGCTTAAGCTGGATTCGTTTTCTTGAAAAAATGTTTGATCTCGAACAGGAAGTTGCCAGCTCAGTTTTTTTTTAACTTGGCTGATGTAATGGAAGTCTCGTGATTATGATGTGGACAACGTATTCATGGGTTGTGAAGGTCAGCTGACAGAGATCAGGGTCAAGTTGTAAAATATCTGACACGTCACGTGATGAAGTGGACAGTGTTCATATGGAGTGACGGTCAATTGAAAAACTGACCTCAAGCAGTTTGCAGTGAATAGCTGCTTGTTATTGTTAGCCAAAATTTAAAAAAAAATGTTTAAAAAATAATAAATAAATAATACATTTAAAAGTAATTTCCAATTCTGACTTGCCAAATTGGCAGGTACAACATAGGTCATGTTTATTTTTTATCATTATATCGTGACACGTCAAAGAATTACAACTTGACCAAACTATGTTTAATAACATAAAAATTAAAATAATTACTATTTTATTTTTCATAATTTTTGTAAACAAAATAAACATTTGAATGTTTATAATATGACCAGGATAATTCGTGGAAATATGTTTGGTCCGGAAATAAATATCCTAAATCAAAAGATTGTTTAAACTTAAAATACAGTAGCGTTTGACCCGTATCATTGCCTTGTGTTTCTAGAGATTGTTGACATTAAAGTAAGGCTCTTTACTTTGACAAAGTACCTAAGACCTAATTTATATGATCATCGTAGTCAGGTCGTAGATTCGCTGACTTCTACAATCCAAGTGTTGAGCTACGGGTTTAAAAAATCGATTAGGCAATTAAACAAAATCAAATTTTTTCTAAAGTTATATATATATATATATATATATATATATATATATATATATATATATATATATATATATATATATATATATATATATATATATATATATATATATATATATATATATATATATATATATATATATATATATATATATGTGAATTCGCGAATCCGCCTTGTGCGTCCTTGTATAGTTTCATCAATAGTCTCATACACTCAACAACAACGATTTCCTGCTTATTCAGATTGTAACTTTATCACAGAAGTCAGACATTGAATTTTGGCAGTTCAAAACCTCTTAGTCGGATCAAATAAAGTCACGTGACTCACCCCATTACGATATTGACACAGCTTGACAAAGGAGCGAATACCACCATAGGCAATTTGAATTTCTTATGCCCCCAGTGATACGTTTTAAGTTAGCGAGTTCGCTTGCACTAACACAGCCCAGAAAACGAGCGTCCCCCCCCCCCCACGCACACACACATGCAATACCATGTGCGTGAATTTGAACAAAACACGCAGTGAGCGAAGTAAAAAAACAACACATCTTGAGATGTTTATTTAATATATTTTTATCCTTCAATTTTTAAATGCGAGAATCCAAACACTCCACATTACAAAGTCTAGTAGAAAAATAATTTACAATGTTTACATAAAGTAGAATATCTATAAGCATTAAACTGTAATACAATTTTGCATCAGAAGTCACATATATTTACAAAATAACTCATAGGCAAATATGGGAATTTCAAAACACGTTCCAAAAATGTCATAATGGACCTATCTGAATATAATAAAGGGCTATTATAAATGTACTTTTTGAGATCCGTTTACGGTATCGTAAAGCTGAGGTCATATGATACCCAACTAGTATATCATATGTGTTTCAAAATTATATTAACATGTATGCTAGAAATCTCTGAGCGCTGAACCTTACTGCAATATACAACGACGAAAATGTTCCGGTCAAATGTCTTCATAAGTAATTCAACATGGAGATGAATTAATACCTCAGCAAAACTTGTAAACCCAAAGACATATAACATTAAGTGTACCATTCTAGCTCCCACCAACTGCAATATATGATTTTAATTTTATTTTCTAAAGAAAACATACCATCACATGAGACTTAACAGTATGCTAAACATTGTGAAACTTAGTTGTAAAAACTTAGTTGTAATAAAGATAATGTATAAAACAAATTTAATTTTCTATATTTTTTAAAACCATGGTCCGATGAAGATATCGGGAGTAACACTTTTGTTTCATCGTTTTTGTGTGTGAGCTCTTAATGTCACGTTATTTATAGGATCATTAAACAAGTGGTTCTAGAGTCTGTCTATATGTCCTTACACCTGTGTACGTGTTGACAGGTTAGGTTTAAGCCTTTTGACTAGACCGTGTTCTCTTTTCACCTGCAACACAAACAGATTACTGAGATAAGAAAAATTATAGATAGCCTTAAATCAAGTCGCATGCTAGTTAAAAGGTATACACATTTTTATGATAAACTTCAATAACAATGACGTTGTTTACTAAAAATGTGTTCGTTTTCTTAAGTTAATTGTAAGATGAACAAGTCAAATGAAAAATAGAGGAATGTTTAAATTTTGCAAGTAGTGTCCGCGTAAGAAGAAAAAAACCCACTGATTCCAAGAATGTCAGGTACTTAATAGTGCTCAGTCGACTCATACACTCTCCAGACCTTCATCGAAAACTTTCTACAGCCTGGGCTTAATTAGGTCACTCACCAGGTTTAAGGACGGTGTAGGTCGTCTCCATGCCTTCCTTTATAAATAGCACCAAACCTACCAGGTTTAAGGACGGTGTAGGTGGTCTCCATGCCTTCCTTTATAAATAGCACCAAACCTACCAGGTTAAATAGCATCAAACCTACCAGGTTTAAGGACGGTGTAGGTGGTCTCCATGCCGGCGAAGATGTGGTCCATCACGTGACAGTGGATGAGCCAGGTGCCCGGATTATCTGCGATCAGCTCTACCGACTCGGCCATGCCGGGGAAGATCTGGATGACGTCATCTCGGTGTTTCTCACTGGTGTGGACGAAGGTGTGTCCGTGCAGGTGCATGGTGTGTAGGTCAAGCTGAGGAGAAAATTATGATATAGGTAAACATGGCGTTTACAGCACATATTATATTAATTTATATATGTATATTTATATAGATTATAAATATGAAGGTTTTTATAAACTAAATTCGTTACTAAAGAACCAAGAGAGGCAGCTAGAAAACTAGGCTGAAAATAAACTGTGTACAAAAAGAGTAACCCATTCAGGGATAGTGTTAGAAAAGACGTGCGCATGACCGGGACTTACCTCCGCACCAAGGGACATCATGTACATGGCGACCCTCGTACCGTACTCCAGCACAAAGTTGGGGTTGTTGCCGTAGACACGTCCGTTGATGGCGTGCATCTTGTTGCTCTCTTCAAACTCGGGGTCGTTTCTGGTGAGGGTAAAAAAACAGAGTTCATGATGTGGAGTTTGGGTTTAGGGGTGTAAGGTGTAGCGTTAGTGTGTTTCAGATATGAATATCTAAGAAACTGATTCGACTTGTGACAGTAGGCAATCCTTAGTCCACCCTGCTCTGTTGGGTGCCTGCCTTTAGTTAGGGAAAGTAAGGCGGCTAGGCATAGTGCTGACAACACCATCCCTTCAAATACAGAGGTCAATAAACATATAAACTCTACTTCATCAGTACATGTAAAGACAAATATTTTTTAAAAATAATTCTATCTCTCCAGTAATCAAAAGTCTTTCATTTAGATCACTTCTAGTTTACCCATCCGTTAATGAACTCACCTGTAATCAGTGCCCACACGACCAGGTGCAAACAACCGGATGTTGTCCTCCAGGTACCAGCTCAGGTTCTCGTTAGACACGGACATGTAGACAAACATTTCCTGGTCAATGTCAGTCCTCTTGGAGGTCAAGGACAAGGTGCCACGCCTAAGAAAAGGAACAATTCTAGCTCACAGTGAATGAAGTTTTCAAAATGTAGACTTAATATGCAGAAATTGCTATGATTAATGCCAAAATACTAGTCGATACGCTGGCCTTATTTATTTTGTTAGAAGACTTCATTGGTGTAGGCCAGTCATGCAGTCATAACACTTCTGTAATAGATTTTTTATTTAATAATTATTTTTTTAAACTCTAATATACGTACAAACGATGAAAGTGCGAACTCTATAGTTATGGCTCCATAGTCTAATAGAACTCTGGATGATTATGCATTGGAAATCCTAACACAAAGCTTAGGCCTTAAGTCAAGAAGAGCCAAATGTTGGATGTTGCCCATGTACCAGACCCCCCTCCATCAACACAGCTGATTGACGCAAGGGACAGGGCGTTACATGTACAGCTTGCAATCAGCACTGTCGCAGGAGATGCCGAAAGGAAACCAGAATGGTAATCTTATCGCTCTACTTCTTTTTTATTTCGGAGTTTTTTCTCCTAGAAGAGTTTCTGTTCCCAGCTGACGAATCTCTTCTGTCAGGGGTTCTAACTCGAGACTTTCGGGTTAGCAACAAAACAGACTCCTTCATACACAATCCGGGATTAATTAAACTAAAAAGGCGATTATGTGAATTTTTAAAGAAACTTTTTTTTTCAAAAGTTGCAAAATACAAAATGTACCTCTGATGACAAGTTTAGATCTAGATTTGAGTTATCTAATTTTTTGCGTACAAGTTTTTTAAAATAGTGTCGTTTTTAATTTCAATATATTTTCTTTTAATTAATCAATTCATCGGAAGCACTATTTCATGAGCTTCTTTGGTCACATTGTGTCTGTCGGAACCCATCTATTAATATTTGGTTTTGCGGAAAGTGTAATGTTAATGGGAAAAATTAAAAGTAATTACATACTCAACCGTATCTCCCACGACTGAGTCAAAAGTTGAACTGACCTGCAGATGATGACAGTGCCAACAAGGCCAGAGTTCACGTCCTTGACCGTGTCGACGGCCGAGTAGTACATCCATGGGATACAGTTGGGGTCGTTGGGGCCGGGGCCGGAGCGTGCTGGGATCTGCCAGAGATACTTGACCGTCTCCCCGGGAGCCGCACCGACAGAGGAGCCGTAGTTGACGCCGCTGGCACGAAGCCTGGGTGGAATTACAGGTAAGCATAATATAACAGTTAAATGTATATGAATGTATGTTGCGAGTGTGTGTATTAATAAGGCGAGATAAAATATAAAATATAGTGTGGGTGTGCGCATGCGCGAAAGGAAAGGAAGCGAGAGGTAGAAGGCGGGGAGAACAAGAAAGATGACGAAATTGAAAGTCGTGTTTGTTGAGTAGTGTAGCTGCTGAATATCATTCTGAATATGTAGATCTAATATTAATAAAATTGTGAAATCTCCAGTAATGTGGTTGGTATTTCCTTTTTAGTTATATCGTGAACCCAGTCATACAAAAGGGCTGTGACAAATAAGAAAGTGAAGATTAGATTAAAAGATTTAAGAAATCACCTTATATAGTCTTTAAACTAATCGAGGCATTGATTTGTTAAATTTTGGGATCATATATAAACGACGTCAGACATTTTAAAATTATTTTACCCCCTCACACCACCCCCCCCTTCCCAACGCCCCGACTTCCATCGCAACAAAATTGCACCAAATGTGAGACGACCTCTTAGTTATAAAACACCGCCTGCGCTTTTATAAGACATTATTCGTTATGCTAACACCTATATCGTCTTCCTAAAACCATTTCAAACACCACTTTCATCTTTAAGAATAAACGCTCCCCCCCCCCCCCCACCACCAACAAATACTCTTTTTAATTACCCAGTAAGGACGCTATGACTGTGAATAGAGTATCTTCTGGTCGCCATGTCTACTCCCCCACCCCCACACATGCCTGCCCTCCTCCCACCCCCACACATGTTTGACCTTCCCCCCCTCTACTCACCCAGTAAGAACGCCATGACTGTGAATAGAGTATCTTCTGGTCGCCATGTCTACCCCCCCCCTCTACTCACCCAGTAAGAACGCCATGACTGTGAATAGAGTATCTTCTGGTCGCCATGTTTCTGAACGTGACCCTCACGACGTCACCAACCTCCGCCATGATGACAGGACCCAGCAGGTCACCATTGCCAGGTTTAACGCTTGTGTACGTGCCGTCTGTGTACTCTTTGTACACCGCTTTCTTGTACACATGCCCGATATACATGTCGTCGTGTCGGATGAAAATACTTTCTTCTCTAAAAACAACATGAGCAGAAAATTACACTTAAAGCATTTCAATAGTTGAAAGAAAAATCTATTAAACCATTTTTCGTTTAGCGTGTAAAAAAATATTTTCTTGTAAACTATTTCTATTTTCGGATGCGAAGTGCAGATGCAGTATAGTTCATCAGTGTAAATGATGAAGGCATTTAAGGTATTTTTGTCAGTCTTTTTTTTGCGCAGCTGTCTTTTCCTTAACTAAGTCAGGTATCTGAGCGAGGCGGACTCAGAGTTATCCTACTGACTAATGTTTGAGATATGAACTCAAGACCTTCTACCATCCCACCTCGTCGTCACTTTATTACTTATATTATTATTTTAATCAAAATTTAAGGGATGACGTGGCCTTGCAGTAGAGCGCTATACTATTAACCCCAACGTCTCGAAATCGAATCGTTGTTTAAATCAGTAGAAAGCCCTGAGTCCACCCAGCTCTGATGGGTATCTAACTCACGTTAGGCGGCTAAGTATAGTGCTGACCATACCAGTGGCGTAGCGAGGTCGGGTGTCACCCGGTGCGGCACTTAATGGTGTCACTCCCCAGAGGCAAGCGTAGCGACCCTTCCCGGGAACAAACTTTCAAATTTTCGATTTGCACCCCCCCCCTCAAGTTTTTTATTTGCACCCCCCCCCCTCAAACTTTTGATTTGCACCCCACTCAAGTTTTTCACTATATATTTTGCTATTTTTTGCCTTGGTGTCACCCGGTGCGGTCCGCATCCCCACCCCCCCCCCCCCTCGCTACGCCTCTGAACCATACTGACCTTCATATGCCGAGGTCACAGAAACAGGTGAACTCTACTTCATTTGCCCATGGACGGTCAGGTTTGAAATGGAACTTTTTTTTTAAATCACTGATTTAAGTTCTACATTAGCCTTAACCCTAGTCGTAATTTGAAAAAAACAAAAACTAATAAGTTCGATATCACATTAGTTGAAAAACAAATCCCAGAATAAATCTTAATCTTAATATAAATCTAAACCTGACCTAAGTATCTTATACGTCCGATCCCTACTATACCAGTAAATGGGTACGGCTAACCGAAGAGAACAAACAATGAATCTTACACATCAGGGTCTAGCAAGTCATCCCCAGTTATCGGACTTCTGGTCAGGGGAGCGTAGTCCCACAGAATCTCTTCAGCTGTAATGTAGTAGTCTCTGATTCTCCCACCCTCGGCCTGAATGTTGCTAGTTTTCCCATAGCAGTCTGTGACCGTATAAAAAGCGTACATGCCGTTTTCTTGTGCGGTCGTTGACTGGGAATACAGCATCCATTTTCCTAGAAGGTAACAATGTTAAAAATTTGAAGACATTATTTTCAAAAGCGACTGCGCCTCGCTGACATACGAGCATATGAAGTTGACTATTTCACAGCAGTAGGCTACATAATTATCAGGAATTAGTTATAAAGTTTTACAGAATATTATTTTTTAAACCGTGATATCAGTATGTCTGACGTTTATTATGACTACGACCACTACGCATAAAACTATTAATAGATGAAGTGACAACTTTAAAGGATTTCGATAATAGTCTAAAGTACAAAGGATCCACGGCATGTACAATTATGACGTTTTCAGTATGACGTAAGTGTAGTAAACATGATATGGAATGAAGTGGTGTCTATTATTAACGATTTAAAAGAATAGGTTGAGCTAGTGTAAAAAAAAAACGTATGGCCCATACACAGTGGTGGACTGGCTGTATCCAAGAGACCCGGGGCTCAAAATCCAATATTGTGTATTGTGCATTTATCAACATCAAACTTGATGATCATTCTCACCTCAATGGAAATTCACGCGCCGAAATTTTTGTTTTAAATATAGGCCTAGTGCAGCATAGTTCATGGGTGCCAACCGGTATTTAATTTTTACCTTGGGGCTTCCAACCCCTGCCTATACTAATTAACTTATATCCAGCACAAATCAATATATCAGTGTAGGCGAAAAGAGGTCTGAGTAAAAGATAGGAGATGAGTGTTGAACTATGGGGTCAATGTAAAACATTGGATGTCAGGTGCATTATCCTTGTGATTTAATGGCCAATGTAGTAGACATAGAGTTGATGATTAAGATGTTTAGTTAAGAAAAGCATTCGTATAGTTAAAGGTGTATAGCATAGCGGTCTTTCAATTACAGAACCCACTAATCTTCAAATCCTAACCCAGATTATGGTCAAGCTCCGGAGGTTTTTTTTTATTGATGGATATATTTTACCACACTCCCTTACTCAGCTATTAGATAAAAGTTATCGAAAAAAATCTCGTGTCAATACCAGCATTATCTGGAGTCATAGACAGAGCAGCCGTGGACCCAGGCACAAGACTTCTTGCGTCACGGTTGGTGCCCTCCTCGTTGAAGGTGTTGCCGTCAAAGACCAGGGTGTGGACGTCCAGGAACGACCCCAGGGACATGACGTGCCAGATGATGCTGTCGTTGATGCACGTGTTGATGGTTGGCATGTTGCCGTAGGAGTAGCCGTTGACAGCTGGTGAAGTGGGGGTAAGGTTCAAAGAGGTTTTAACGAAAGAAAAATATTAGCATGTTATTGTTTTTACTGTAGTGCCGATTTTGGTCAAAGATAAGAATTTAAATTCGCTAAGGTTTAAAAAATGATTTGTTAATTCGAGCATTCGTGATTTTAAAATTTACAAATTAGTTAACGACATAATATGTAGTTTACTCGCTCCCATAAAACATTTTTATTTGAGGAGGTCTTTTAGTTAAAATTTCACAAAGTGTTGAAATTCTATTGTGTTTTTATATTATAGTATATGAATTCTGTTTAATAAGTATTAATTTAAAATAGCTGATATTAACGTAGGCCTACGCTTACTCCATCGAACGTTGGACTGAACAAATCCTTCTAGATCATTCCCTACGCTCACGGTGCGGGACATGTACAGGGACTTGTTCTCATCAAATGTTGCTAGCAGTAAAAAATATTCGCTTGGCTTGGATCCCTGTGTATAGATGGGAGGTTAAAGTATTAAATATATTAATTAAAAAACAAGCAAAAAACAAGCAATTTAAATGTGATTTTTGAAGTTTGTGACTATGTTAATTAAGCAAACAGCACTATGTTATTTGAGTGTGAAATGGTATGAAACGAGACAGAATGGGAAGTCAATAAAGAGATTTATGGAGAACAAGATTATGGACGTTGCAATGAATATTAGTATGGACGAGATCATCTAAATTCTTCATATGGGGGGTGTTTTATTTCTATAAATATCCTCAACAAACGAAGAGTCGATTTTCGTAGCACGTTACATTTTATGAAATTTGGAATGGACTTGGAGCACTGTTTAGAGTTTTTATTTTATTTTTGGGTTCGTTTATAAAGAGAGGGGGAGGGGAAAGGGAGGCTAAAATCTGTGTAGGGGGTGGCGAGGAATTGAGAAATGTAATGTAGCGTATACTTTATGGTTTTTTTATGTGCGAATATATATTTTTTATCTAAGTTATAATTACTGCTATTTTAGGACAGTGCTAGATGTCGCGTTGCGCTGTCATTTTATGAAGGAGGGTGGTTGGGGGGGGGGGGGTCTAGCTATTTGTGGTGATGTGTAACATGAGAACCGTGGGTATGAGGATTGGCTTAATTTGTAACGCTTATTGAGTGACATGTATCCCAGAGTTCTTTAACTTATACGCCAGGTACCCCACTGTTCACTTATCTTATATGGCCAGGTACACAATGCTCACTCACCCTATACGCCAGATATCCCTTCTGACAAACGAGGATTGCACCAACCAGACCAGTGTTGTGGTCACGGACAGGATCGTGCATTGACGTGTACAGGAAACTGAGACAAGGTTCAGATGACCCCTCTAGTAGGTTGGTGGGCACGTCAAACCTGTAGGTGTGGACCTGGTTTAGGCCGACGGAACCACCTGGCACGCCATACCCAGCTAAAGTAAAACATGGCGTAAGTTTTTGTCAGAAAAATAATATTTTTGCAGATAAAAAGCTGGACAATATAAAATGGTTTTGTAACTACGAGACCTAAAGTAATGGATGTTTAAAATGTAATGGATGTTTAATAAATAAAGATCAGCTATCCTGGATTTATTTTATTTGTTAAACAGGAAAAAGAGTGTATATTATTTTTTATAAAATAATTATGTATTACAAATAATTCTGGCATCGAATTGAATACAGAAGGGCCTATGAGAATGGAGAATTTACAAAAGTGACTGACAAATCTATAACAAGGACTGAAGATATTTATAGAGAAGGCAGGCGAATTTATGACATTTATGAAAAAGGATGAAGAATCCATAAAAACAGAACGAAGAATCTATAAAACAGGCTAACATATCTATAAAACAGAACGAAGAATCTATAAAACAGGCTAACAAATCTATAAAACAGACTGACGAATCTATAAAGCAGGCTAATCTAATATATTAAGCTCAATTCTGTATGTAAAATGTTTGTAATAAGTTTGTCGTGGATACTTAGATGGATTTAAGTGTTAGATTATTATAGTGCTTATGGTCTAAATTTATGAGTTTAAAAATTTATACTGAAATTGTTGGGAAATGATTTTCATTTTTCAAACAGATAGTAATAATTGTCGGCATGTTCATTAAACACAATTTTAAAAAAATATCATCTTTTACAAACATTCTAATTATGTCTAAAAATTATTTATATTTAGTCCTTTAGCACTTACTTCCCTTTGATAAATTAGGAAAACACAATTACTTCCCTTTATAAAACATTGCATTAGTGGGAAAGAATTTACTTTTTATTACTTTGTTTTGGTGTATTGAAAAAAATAATTACATAATTAGCGGGGATTGATCAAGTGCAAATGTTGTAGGTATTTTACGGATAAGCTTGGAGTATTATAATTGTTCATTAAATTGAAACAGGCGCGTCCGCCGGCGCCCCACCAGGGTTCAATTTGGCGCCCTGAGCTATCCTGTGAGCGCTATGGTGCATAATTTCGCTTTAAACAGTGCGATAGAGTATTGATAAGAAAGGTTACTATAGTCTTTAAGTGAATTGAATCCGGGCGTCCTCTGGCGCCCAGACAGGGTGCTATTTGGGGCTCCGGGCCTCCCGTGTTCGTTTTGGCGCCTACGTTCGTTTAAGTGAGTGCAAAAGACTATGAATAAGTTGGGGTACTATAGTCGTTTATTAAGCTGAAACAGGCGATTCCGCCCCGGGCTAGACTGTGAGCAATTTGCGTTTATGTTCGCGTTAGTGTTTTATTTGTGTTTGGGTTGGGTTTGCGCTAGTGGTTGCGTTTTGATTTGGTTCGTTTTTGTTCTTTCTTTTTTCGTTTTCGTTTGTTTTTTTCTTTGGGTGTGTGTTTGTATTTGTGTTTGTGGTTGGTTTTGCGTTTGGATTTGGTTTGTTTTTGTTTGCTTTTTCGTTTGTGTTTTTTTCTTTGGGTTTGTGTTTGTGTTTGTGATTGGTTTTTCGTTTGGATTTGGTTTGTTTTCGTTTACTTTTTTGTTTGTTTTTTCTTTGTGTTTGTATTGCTGTTTGTGGTTGGGTTTGTTGTTCGGTTTTTGTTTTCGTTTGTATTTGTAATTAATTGTGTTAGCGTTATGTTTGCGTTTTGTTGTTTTGGTTTTGGTAGGTTGTGGTTTGGGTGGGCAATGCCGGGTTTATGATGATTACTAAACACACAGGTAATGGTCTTTTTAACAGAAAGGGTTTTCACAGAAGCCAGAGCAGGGCCTGGTCGGGACGGCTAGTGAATATATAAAACAGACTGACGAATCTATAAAAAAACGACTCACCCTTGTCCTCCTCTGCTATGTCGTAGCTGAGACCGTGGGGTAGAAAGGACACGGGGTAGGGGAGGAGATTCTTCAAGGTCACCACAACCCTGTCCCCGACCTCCACGCGTAGGACCGGTCCCAGAATGCCAAGGTGAGCGTCCTTGGGAGAGCTGCTGACCTTTGTACTGAATAGCGAGTTTGTGTACTGGATGAACTTGGCCTTCTTGTACACACCGCCCAGTCGTGATTTGTTACGTGTGAAGTAAAGTTTCGATGGGCTGAGGAAGGGAGAAGCTTAGGGGTCATCCATAAATGAAGTCACGCTTTTTTGACGATTTTTACCTACCCCCTCCCCTCCGTCACACATTGTCACAAAAAGCCAGACCCCCCCCCTAAAATGACGTCACACCTCAGCCTACAACCCCCCTCAAAATTGCAGATGAATTTTTCTTGAAACATCGATATTTTCCCGAAGTCTTGTCTAAACTCTGTCAACATACAGTATTTTAATCAATTCCTATTACAATTTATTAAAACAGTTTTCTAAAACGCTAAATAACGGCTAAAACTCGTTTTCTAACATTGGTTTTTTATAATGCAAAAGTGTGACGTCATACTATCTGAGTTCCCCCCCCCCCTCGCCTTCGTCACATGCCGTCACAAAATTACGGACCCCCCCCCCCCCCCCCCTCTCCCCCTATGAGTGAGACGTCATTTATGGACGACCCCTTAGAGTTTCAAAGGGCTGAGCTATGAAAGAAGAAAAAGGAATTATGAGTTTTAGAAGAACAAGCCGAGGATGTAGAAAGGCGAATTGGGATTTGTTTTTATAGGGCTACACTTTGAGGAAGGAATGAGTTCAGATATGTTTTGAATGATAGAGAAATCAAAAGTAAAATTTGTTTGTGGGTGAAGCACCGGTTATCTACATTGACGAGGGAGTGGGGGTATATGTAACACAATATTTTATTAGAAATTTGAATTGAGAATTATGCTAGGCTAAAAGGGGAGAAGTTATAAATAGGCTTTAAATTTTAGATCAAAATTTTAGAGTCGAAAAAAGAAAAAGTTTGCGTTTCACGAGCATAGTTCAACATTTGACTGTGTTTTTAAATGAAATCTGTGAATAGCGTAACAATCAGTGTGCGTATACACATGATAAGATTTAGCAGGTTAACGGATATTGGCGGATTATCTGGAGCATGACTAATGATTTACAAACACTTGAAGCAGCGTTTGCTTCAGTCCTGTCAATGTGTACACACCTGTCCGCTGTTGTCAATGGCAACCCCGTCCTGCCATCCAACCCCGTGGGTCCGTACTTCCAAATCGTCTGCTCGGCCGTTAGAAAAAACTCTCTCGTCTTCCCAGAATAGCTTGGACTTGTTGAATATTTACTGTTGCCTTTGTTTGGGCAGGTCTTCACGTTATAGAAAGCTGCCATGCCTTCTGTTGTAGTAATTAAAACAAAATATTTGACCGAAGTCTCTTGCATATACGTATATGTAAAGACATTTATGTCGATGTATAGAGGTCTAAGGCGATGTAATTAATCTATTACGATGGAAAAGCATCGATTGCTATGTATAGACGACAATTGTGTTCTAATAGAAGAAAGCTCAGTGTTTAAAAATGCCTTAAACAGTGTTCAAAGAAGCAACATGAGGGGATGGAAGTCAACTACCCACGTACAGATTATCGCTTGATAACATGCTTATATTTTAGAGTGTTATAAGAAACTGCTTATACAGGTAATACAGGTATTTCCAATGGTTCTATCAAACAAATTCTGCAGTAAAAAATACCTTGAATAATAAACAAATGTTCCATTTAATAAATGATGGGAAATAGTTTGCATTACACTTAAATCCCTTCTAAATACCTTTTTGGTGGTCATCGACAAAGTCAGCAATCAGCCATCGTCCAGGGTTTGTTGGAATGGTTTCCACGGCAACAAAAGTGGCAGTGTACACAGACACTGTGTCCCCCCTGAAGGAACAATTCAAGCATCAATTCACCACATTGTTTCTATGGCCTAGCTACATCATCACTGATTTATGTTTTCTTATACAGTGCTTTTAAAAACTTTATTTTAACTTTAAAGAACAACACAGTGATTTATGATTGTATTCGCCGGCGGGTATTTAGACGACACTAAAATTCAATACCAACATGTGAAGCAACAGTTATTTTATCAACAGTGCTGATCGTCATTTAACCAAAGTCGAATGATATGTAATAGGGACATACAGGTCCCTTGCAAAATACTTTTTTAAAGACAAACTTTGACAACAATATATTTCTCAAGTAAAAGAGTAAACGCAGATACTAATCTACAAAAGTGTCGATTCGCTACAGATTAACAGACACGAGAATGAACCTAATTAAGTACATGCAAGAAGCAATGCGAAACATAGACACCAAAACTAACACAGTATAAAAGACAAGCCTAGTTAGAGTGCCAACAGCATCAGTGTCTACCTCCGGTGCTGGTACTTGAGATTCTGACCATGGAAGTGCATCGAGTGGACGTCCATCTCGTTCCCGAAACCGATGACGTAAAACTGGACACGATCTCCAACACACACCTGTCGTAATAAAATTTGAATCAGCATATTTCTATATATTATGTTTTAGATAACCAGACTTTTATTTCATTTAGAAAATGTAAATGCAAAACTTTATCATAAATAATTATCATTAAAAAAGTTTCAAAAAACCCACGTTTTCTGATTGAACTAAAAAGTAGAAAATAAATGCTATACATCACAATAATGCAAGCGATCACTCTACTATAAGCGATGAAAAACGTGGGGCGCCGAAGTAAAAGTTTTTTAACCCCACGTTTTTCATCGCTTATAGTAGAGTGATCGCTTGCATTATTGTGATGTATAGCATTTATTTTCTACTTTTTAGTTCAATCAAAAAACGTAGTTTTTTTTTAACTTTTTAAATGATAATTATTTTCTACTTTTTAGTCTTTGTCTGTTTGCATTAAAATCTTGCTATCGATTTTATCTTTTCGCATGAACCCGTGTCGAGTGGGTTAGCAATCGTGTGCCCAACCACTCGACCATATCGTCTCCCCCATACTGGCCACCAGTTGTTCCGGTTGTTTGTACACAAACACCGCGTGACCAAAAACTCAGTAAGCCAAAAGAGGGAGAGTACCGAACCTTGTTTTCATCAAATTACAATTACTGGGTTATGTCCCTTTTTCCCCACGTTTTTTGTACAAATATATAGCGGTCTAAAATGATCAATAAAATGTTTCCATGGATCAATTTAGTAATAATAACAATTGAATATTCTATTGTCATCGGAAACAAAGCTTCCCTGAAAATTTCAGCGCGCTAGCTAACTGGGAAGTGCCCGAAATTTCGATCGCAAGATTTGATTGGAGAACCAAACAAACAAACAAACAAAAAACAAACAGACGCGAAAGCAAGTTAAAGAAAACGTGGGAAAAACGAAAACACATTTGCTCTACACGATGATGTTAAATCATACATTGATTTTGGAAACTGGATTTTAGTCGGACCACCAGAGACGGGGCGGGGGGGTACATATGTCTTCGGGCGCCGATCTTAAGAGGCGCCAAAATGGGATGGAAAAACAAATTAAAATCTCATTTTAGCTGCAGTTTTTCATTATAAATATAAAAAATATATGGGGGGGGGGGGGGGGGTGCAAATGGAAAGTTTGAGGGGAGGGGGGTGCAAACTGAAAATTGAAAGGTTGTTCCCTAGGGGGGCGCCAAATTGAAAGTTTGTCCCCTGGCGCTCGGGAAGGGTCGCTACATCTCTGCAGACCACTAATAATTAACCTGTTTGCTTTCGGGCTTTCGCCAGTCCATCTGACGCTCAACAGACCGTGATACGATTCACGTTCAGACAGTTACCACAACGTACTCACCTGCAAACCCTCCAGCGTACCAAATGACCTTCCGTTAACGGACCTCATCAAATTGCTGTCCACAAAGTCAGGGTCTTCGTTTTCATCTAGATGGCGACATCTGGACGGTGACAGACAGAAGGTGTTGATGTTGTCCCTGTGGTGCCAGCTGATGTTCTCGTCCCAGTTCATGACGAACAACGGCACCTCGACATCCACGTCAACACGCTCGTTCTTGGAGTTAAGTGTACCTGTGTGGTGAGCAACATACACGGGTTAAAGGTTGTGAGCAACATACAAAGGTCAGTACCTATGGGGTCAGCAGCATACACAGGTCAGTGTACCTGTCAGGTGAGCAACATACAAAGGTCGAAACCAATGGGGGTGAGCAGCATACACAAGTAAATAGGTTGTGTGCAACATAAACATAAAACTAAAAGAATGGGTTCATATGGTGAGCTTATTGTATACTTAATTAAGTTAATTAACTTAATTAAGTTATCAATATCGTATTTTCCCGTTCGTCACCAAGACACAAGTGGTTAATGAAGTAGAGTTTATCTGTTTCGAGACTTCGGTATACGAAGGGGTAGTATGGTCAGCACTATGCCCAGACGTCTTATGTAATAGGGTGGACAAAGGATATTTTACAGAATCTTGTCCGGAACATGAACCCGAAACCTTCTGGTTGACTGTTGTAAGCTGTACCATTCGATCACGCCGTCCCCGTGTTAAGTTATAGTCTGTTTAAATGGATTGACCTGATCAGTGATTACAATACGGTCATATAATTTAACTTAATTATTTACTGGTAACAATCTAGTCAAATATCTTGACCTACTCCAAAGGTTCTATTTGGTCAAGAAACTTGACATTATTGTCCAGTGTCTAAAATATTTTTTAAAAGTTCACTCAATTAAGCTTTGATTGAAAATATCACGTTTAAATGCGATTGCATTGATAGAAAACAAAATGTCTTTGTGATCGATTGTCTTTCTACAAATAAAACAGAAAGAATTCGATAAAGTATCAAAAGATGTGTAAAAGAGAAGGTCTTCTTTACTAAAATACAATCAAATACACGTGACACTGACCTGGTCTGCACGTGACGACCACGCCTATCATCCCCGTGGACACGTCCCTCCTGGTGTTGATGTGGGAGTGGTACACCCACGGGAGGCACGCCGGGTCACCCTCTGCCGGGGCATCACTCACGGTCACGTTCCACGTCACGGTGACCCGGCGCCCTGGCATGACGCTGTCGTCTTTTTTGGAAGTTCCCGAAGTCCCGTCTAAATATAGCGCACCTAAAAATAGAAAAAGAACATGATGTTGAAGAAAATGCTTACATCGTCTCAATGAGAGGAAGCAACGTGTGTATTTCCTATTGACGGTGATCTATATTTAGCATCTATTTATAGGCATATATATTTGTAGAATTTTGTTTGTTTTGATTCCACATTATGCTATTCGTTAGGTTTGTTTAATGGGTTGCTTTACAGATTCGAGATAACGGAGGCTATCAATGGCGCTCAACCAGTTGACACGTATACTTAATTGTGTTGGAGGGGATCAATTTCCAACACTAAAATTAATAACGAAGAAGAAAAAAGAAGAAACCTTCATGCTTGCAGTCTGTCAACACTAAAGCACAATAAAGCACTTGTGTGGGTTCAAAGGGTGAATATGACAGATGAAGTAGAGTTCGTGATTTGTTTTACAACCAACTGACCTTCGCTTTTTTTCTCATAGAAAACGCCATGTGGATGAATTGAATATTCCCTGGAGGCGTTGTTGAAAAAATGGACGACGATGACGTCACCGACTTCCCCGCGTATGATTGGTCCAAGAAGACCCTGGTATGCCGGCTTGACCATCTCTGTGGTGTACGTCTGGTCAGTGTACTGGAAGAATAGAGTCTTCAGACGCTTTCTGCCAACACGGCTAGTGCCTGGTAAAACATATTTGTCGGCTGTCCTACGGACAAGAAATTTGGTTATTTTAAGCAGAGGCGTAACCAGAAATATTTGCTGGTAGACCTGAGGTAGCAAGTATTTATTCCATTTCGTCACCATATTTAATCTAGTTTGTTAAAATCTCTTAGTTGAATAATGCATGCTCTAAAAACTGGTTCTCAAATTTTCGTTAGTTCCGCTCTCACAACTTTCAAACTGACCCTGTCTCTAGCTTCATAGTAGCAGTGTTTCTTCCAGGCATCTCTTCGGTGGGGCAGCGTCCCCGTCCCCCCCAAAAGAAAGTCAACCGCCCCCCCCCCCCCGAACGAAATGGAATTTATATAGACAAAGAAACTATATACTTTTAATAATATTCCCCCCCCCCCCGGAAATTTTAGACACCCCCCCCGAAAATTTCAAGTGCCCCCCCCCCCCCCCCCCCCGGAGAAAAAAGTTTGCAAGTAACACTGCTGAAGGCTTATATATTAAATGGTTATTAAACTTTTCCATATCACGATGTTGTATGGGAGTAAAATCCTAGATTAATTCTATTTTTTTTTCAATTCTGTCCCACCAACTATTCTTATAAGGGCGAAAGACGCTCTACAACCTAACCACACCTAGATCTTGCGCTTAAAAAAAAACAATTTTAAAAACTCTTTCACTGAAAAAAAAACAACAACTCACACTTGATCGTTGGGATCCACCAGGTTAACTCCCCCTGGGCAGTAGTTCCATAAGACGTCTCTAGAAGCGATGTAGTAGTTCCTGACGGCTCCCTGGCACCAGGTCAACATTAGCAGGAGCAGGAGGGCACGTAGAAACACGTGTAGCGAGAGTTGGGCTGGAACCACTGACGTCATGGTCTTGTGCCGCTATCTTGATACAGAAGAGTTAATTTTTTTAAATAATCAACTTGTAATTATTATTATTTTGTATTAGTGGCTATTTCTTTCTTTTTAGTATGAAACAATGTTTTTTTAAATATTATTTTAATCATTAGTAAAACAAAATTCAGTGCAGATATAGTTTACACATATACGTTCAGTAAAATTCCTATTTCCTTCTTCCTCTTCACTGCTCAAATCACACAAAATATGCCTTGTTAGTCTCAATCTCTCGCGCTCAAATTTCAAAATCTCGTTAGCCATGGAGGGATATAAATTTTGAACTAAATTAATTATATTTTGAATATGATTCCCATTAATAATAACAAAGGATGAAACATACATGCCGGTTATTTGTTTCTATGTCTCGTTTCGAGATATTCAAATACCCGGGGTACTCAAATTACAATAATTATAATGTTTTACTATTAATAGAATTAAATTAAATACCAATAGGCCTAAGCTATTACATCAAGATTAATATTGTAACTACGTACAGGAAAATGTGTTACTGATTCGAATAAATAATAACGAACTGTATGCCTAGTTAAAAAACACACTTAAAGTGGTCTATATTTTGCTTTTAGCTAGCCTACATCTTGCAGTCGAGCATTATAATTGTTTACTTTTTTATATATGGTAAGTATTGCGGCAGTAACTTTGCTGTTGTTTTTTTTTTCAACCGATTTAATAAAAAAATATTTATATTAATATTTGGTTTGAAATAAACTATCTGGCAAGTACGAGAACGAGAAGCGGGTGACCTACTAACAAGCCCTATTCTACACAACGCAAATATTTGCCCATATTTCTACAGTGATTATATCTTTTCAGATGGACTTTTTTTCCGTACCCTTATACAGCACATTATATTGCAATATAATCTACAGCCTAAGCCACGCTGAATAGCCTTTGTATAAAGAGCATTATATTCACTTCACGAATAAATCATTCACCTAAATAAACAGACAAAAACGATTGCAAACGATTCACCTAAATAACGTGAAGGATACACGAATGTGGATTAAAAATCTGCACAGACACAACCACTACCGCGACGGACTGCGGTGCTGTTGTCTTCACGTTCGGACGGAATCATAGATGGAGATGACACTAGAACATTTCAACCCAGTACGACAGACGTTGATTTCCCCGATCTGATCAAACTACGCCGGAGCCTGGGTTTATAGTTACTAGATCCGTCCTTTGATCTAACTATTACAAGTAGCGAAATGGACACATGGAAAATGGATTTTAAAAATTAAGTCGGACAAATTATCCTAGATAAAATACGACCTTGATCAAATACACTCGAATTTCAAATGAACTGCAATAAATTAAAATCCAAGTACGGCCGACCCTATATTCTTGTCCTCAATACAATCAACATAAAAAAAAATCGGCTTCCCTCCAACAGGTAGCACCCTCACTAGTCTACATTTGAAGATCCAAGCCTTAACCAAAATGTGATGATTCGATCAAAGGTATAGCTGAGCACCAGGGGGGGGGGGGGGTGACGCTAAATTAGCACTACCGCTATAAAAACTGTTTACAATATTCGGCATAGGTGAATCTAACACTTTTTTTTGCTTATGGAACCTTTGTTCTTTTTATACTTTATATTTCATCTAATCTGCAAATTTCTGTCTTTAATTTCCATTGTATGATTGTCTCGCAGAGTAAAAAAACAAAATCTAAATAAGGAATTAAAATTATACATTTTCTTTTACTTTTACTTAGTAATTAATCATTCTATTGCATTAATAACCAATCGAATTTATTACCCTTATTTTTACGATATTGTACTGAACAATACCGAAATGTATATATATTTTTTTTAATAATAAGTGAAGGGGAGATGCTAAACCCCATTTGTACTTCTTATATCTGTCTATCTAGAATCTAGAACGTCGAACTCTCAATTTCACCAGTTAGAAATATATTTTATTAAACAGAAGTACGTTACTGCTCCAAGCGTACCCCCTCCCCCCTCCCCTTTTCCACAATTCGCAACGCCACTGAACACTGTTTAACCAACTCCTGTGTCTTCGACCAGACCCTGTTACATCTATACGCTGAACTAACATGTTGAAGTGGCGGGTGGAGGTGTCCGGTCCCAGGTAAATAATCCGGGTATTTTTTCTTGTCTCTGTCAGGTACCAAAAGTGTTAAAACACACACACCCTTAAGGTAATTAAAATAAGCTCTGTTTATAGTGGGCCTAAATTCTTACAAAAATCGGTCACGTTTATGTCTTTGAATGTCTTATACATTTATTTCACCAATTATGATGAGCCTGATATATTCCTTCAGGTACTAAGTTACCTTTTATTACAAATAGTTGTATATATGTATGGTGACGGGACAAATAATCTCAGGACACAATATATCAGGGACAGATGGTCTCAGGTAAATTATAACATACACAATATTTCACGGACAAATGATCTCAGGAGAAATTATCCCAGGACTAATGCTCTCAGTTAAAATATCCCAGACAAAAGACCTCACGGACAAATGATATCAAGAACAAAAGATCTCAATACAAAATACATCGGAACCTTACATACATAAATACAGTACACTCTTTGCGACTTGTTCTGATATAAATCAAACAACATAAACATCAAAAAACGTATCTAAATACCGAAACATAGAATCATCTCTATTTGCATTTCTCCTTTAACAAATATAGATTTCAAAAAGCTACACAAATTTTAGAAGTACGCACACAATTAATAAAAATATTTTAAATTCACAAACATTTAATCCCAAGTTTGTTCCTGAACTTACAAAGAAAAGCATGTAATACGATGATACAAATATTATATGCGCTTATAAGTACGCATAAGGTGCCCCACAGCCAGTCAAAACCTTGGATTTGGTGATTTAATAATATCACGTGACCAGCTGTGTACCGTATCCGGATTGTGTGGTAAGTAAAAAAGTTGAACTTACCCGGATACACACCATCCTTATTTGATACGCACCAACAACCTAGCTTAGCCCCTAAACTTGCTATTGTAGCGTTTGTTAAAGTGTGCTGATTTTTTTTAACTTTAAATTTTAAAAACATAAGTATTGACTACACGAAAAATTTCAATTCTAATAAAAAATGTGTGAAACATCTTTCATACCTTTCTGAGTAATGTTGAGGACGGTAAAGTCATTCGTTTCGATACCAGGCAACTAAACATTATCTTGTATGTCAGGATTATAAGAGCTCCTATACAAATGCCGAGTCCGATGCTTGCACATAAAAGATCTGAGACCTTAATTTTTTTTATTATTCTATGTGTTAAATGTTACAAAAAAAACACCCTTCAGTTTTTATGAACGCATCTGTATTGATAACACCTTACACGATTGTAAAAGAAATCAAAGGGCCTCTCGAGTCAGTTCCCAGCGGGGGCCATTCCTAACTGTAAGGATGATGTTATTTAAATTAGGTTAACTGACGCAGCAAGCAATACGTTGTAGGTAGGGCAATTGTGTGGGTCTATTTAGGATAATGTTAGGCTCAAAATTGGGGGCGGTTTTCTATTTATATTGGGTAAATAAAAGGCGTTTCAACCTATTAGAATTTTCCCCTCTCCACCCCTCATTCTTCAAGTTAAACATATGAACTCAGTTCAGCCAAACCTAATGAACAAGACAGTCTTAACCCAAATAACCTTTTGGGTCGAGTGTCTTTAAAAAGTTGCTTCCCTTGCGAGGATTCTAAAAATAGATGAAACTGCGAGGAGTTGTCTGCCTTATGGGCTGTCGTTCAGTCAAGCGGAACGTGTGTTTCCTACATACAGTGAATAGCCGTTCATCATGTAGGAGTAGGCGTAAGCATACGTATTAGGAGAAATATTACCCCAAATATTTATAATAACATATTTGTTTTAAGATACATTAATTATGATAAATATTTTAAGACATAATTATGTTTGTTAAGTACAAATAATTATAAGAATATATATCATCACACATATTTATTATCACTAATATAAGGACAGATATTAGGACACACACTTAAGACAGATGTTATTACAAAAACAAGCTAGGACAAATATTTTTTAAAAATATGAGGAGAAATTAGAAAAATAGGAGAACTATGTTTGTATTGCTTCTTGCTACATAACTTTCGTACTCGATTATGTCCCATTACATCATAATAACGGAACTGATTGTAAACTATAAACCAATACAATTAGCTAACACTAACGCAAACGACTAGTTTAATTCATACCTTAACTTAAATCCTAACATAGTCCTAACCCGGATTCTGCTCTAACCGTACTAACCCTAAACATTACTTAACATTATATTTTTCTCCGACAGTCGTAGCAGAGATATACTATGTTCCTTGATCGCATGTGTAGCACTATATATAATTACAATGACTTTTGATTTTATAATTTATGACAAACAACATGAGATTCCTATATCTCTATAGGTTGCCAAAATTTTAAAAAAAATTAAAAAATCAAAATTTTAAAGCAGATTGAATTTACATTATCGCTCTATTATTATCAATGGATTTCTTTTACTATTATTTTGAATAAATAATTTTAAAATTTAAATTATAATTCTAGAACTGGTAAATCTTACCTGTTACATGTAAGCATCACTTTTTCTGGATTTGCCAGTAGGTAATAGAAAAAAAAATTCATGAAATTTCACAAAACGTTAAACCGGGAGGTTTTCACTAAGAGCTGATTTAGAGAGAGGGGTGGAGTGGGGCGGATTAAGTAAATGATGTATTGGTTAAAGCTAGTTTCGTTTTCTTTGGCAATGTTTGAACTCGAGAAGGAAGTAGCCAGCTCCGGTTTTTTTTTGTTGGCCAAATAAATAAACGTCATTTGACGTGGCGTAGTGTGTGTTCGCGGGTTTTGACGGTCAGTTGACAAAGGTCAATCAGTTTGTGGTCTGTCTGTCTGTCTTAATCAGCGATTCGCTAATTTGTATTTTTGTATTTTCGTCAGTTTAAAAAAAAAGAAATTTCTTAAAAGTGTCTTAAATAGTAAAAATTAAGAATTCATTTAAAGTAAAATTAAGACAACATTTCAAATCATATTCTGACTGGTCAAATAAACAATTAAAATAAAATTGTTGTTGTTTGTTGTTGGGTCATGATATGTTAACTTATTACCAGTTGAATAATCTGCGCTTATTGGGATATAAATTAAAATAATTGAAGTTAAATATTTTAAAGTTTTTAACAAAAGTTTCAAATATGAATTAGTTAGTTCGTTTAAACTCCTTAGATCCGAATATACAGTGCAGAATCTACATGTTTAAGTTTGAAATGATCATAGGCTTTTTAACCGTGTCGTCTTTTGTGTTATAAGGTGTTGACATAAGGTTATACACACGCTACTTCTTTTTTACCAGCAGTTTCTTAGTCATCTTTCCAGGAGGGAGCAGTGTGTCCCCCCCCCTCCCACCGGAGCACGCACACCTCCCTACCCCCTGAGGAAAAAAGATAGAATATATATTTTATAAAGAAAAAAAATCTACATTAACCAGTTTCTGCTTCCCCCCTCCCCCTTATCGGAGAAGAATGTCTAGAAGAAACTATTTTGACAAGATACGCAATGCCCGTAGATTTTAATTTAGTGCAACGCAGTCGAATAGTCAATTGGCTGTTTTCTGCTATTCGACTTGGGGTATCCAGCAAAGATATTCCGCAATTCGATTACGCGGTACAACAAAGCTGTACTTTGCCGACGTTATTCAGATAGTTTGAGGTTATAGCGATAAGGGGAGGGCTATGTCGCATTTCAAGGTTCCGAGTTAAGTACAGTAAAGTATGAACGTTTGTATAACCTACTCATATAAAAGTGACGTACTAAGGTGTAGAGGTAAGAGCTGACTCATTTAGGGTTGACTGAACTATTTACTCATGGAGTCTTATACGTCGCGAGGATATATAGAGAACTAAAATACATTACTTTTAGAATACACATTTGAGATTTATTAGAAGTAAGTTTAGATTTTTTCCACATAAAGTCTTGAACTAGTTAATTCTCCTTACAGTGCATTGCTCCATTACATACATGAATTAAAAAATAAAAATAACATACATACACATATACATACATATAAATATATATAAATACATTTAAAAAAATAAATATATATATATAATATATATGAATGTATATATATAATATATATACATATATATATATATATATATGTATGTATATATATAATAATATATACATATACATGTATATGAATCCGCCTCGTGTGTCTCGTGTGTCGTTTGTCCCTCGTTTCACTTGATACGATATAATTATTTCTCGGCTTATTCAGATTGTAACCGGATCTTGGTCGTCAAATATTAGAATCTAGCAGTTAAAAACCTGCATGCAGTGATCAAATAGAGTCACGTGACGATGTTGACACAAGCTTGACAGAGGCACGAATATCAGGTAAGGTTATTTAAACACAATTTTTAAATGTCTACAGTGTGATAAGTTTAAAATTTATAGTTCATTTGCACTACCACAATTATCTATCTTACACCTAGATCAACTAAAGCAATAAGAAGAGATGTATAGAAATTGATGAACCTGTTTCTAAGTAGTTATCATTTTGGACCTGGCGGTCTGTATCGCACATGAACTAGCATTGATTTTGTCTCTGTGAGCTTAACATATGAATGGATAGTGGTTAGTTGTGTGGTTAGCCACGTTTACTTTCTTTCACGTAAGTTAGGTACTAATTCGAGGTGGTTAAATTCGAGATTTGAACAGAGAATCTCGGACTAGCAGTCTTCAGCTCTACCGTCCCACCACGCCATGCTGCGTGTATCTCTTGATTTTATAGAACTATTTTATAATTTTAGTACCCTTGTTAAAATACTTCATAAATTGTACGTCAATATGACATCTACATAACTAAATAATTAAAACATAAAATAAAGTAACGGTTTCATTATGTCTTGCTAGTTATTGCTACGTTATGTTGTATTAGTTATGACGTCCCTTGTATTACACATATAATGGTTTTGTCCTTTGAGTGTGTTCTGTTCTGTGTAATACAGGTCCTTAACTGAGGAGCAAGGATATGTTTTCCTATCACTGTTTTCTACATACTAAACAAAGTTCTTAAGTACACTGTTCTCTACATTAAAAGTAAATTTGGCATCACAAGTTATTTGCCAATTTATGTACAGTAAAGAGGGAGGTGGGGGGGGGGGAGAGATGTTACACATTATTTTATTATAAATTAGAATTGTACATTTTACTAGGCTAAGAGACGAGAAGTTGTCGTTATTATACTTTTTTGTTGTTATTATACATTTTTGTTGTTATTATACATTTGTGTTGTTATTATGCATTTTCGTATCATGTTGCAGTAAAGCATTCTTCAAATAGTGTTATAAATAGATATGGGGCATGATGGTTTCAATTACACACAGCCCAAATCTTGAAGAAACAAAACATTCCTCGGGTGTCTGACCACAGACTTCCGGGTCGAGTGTGTTAACTGCCTGGATACCCGGATGTCCCCTTGGAGCTGACCAATGGGTGCTCGACATTCTGTGAGGTGGGTGGAGGACGGATGGGTGGGTGAGAATCTAGCTTGTAACTGATATATATGGAAAAGGCTTTGAATTTCCGAAAAAAACTGAAATATGTTTTTGCACATACACATTAGGCTGTCTACAGGAACAAACACTCCTCCATAGAAAAATATAAATATTTTTTTTGTGCTAATTTTAAATGACGTCGTACGTCGTAATGAAATCCTGATTTATTTTTTTACGACATGTTGGCCTACGTGTCCTTAATTCCGGAATTTGAGAAATTGAGTAGTAGGCGCGAATCTTAAATGATTAATTGCGTTAGGGTGTTGTAGATTTGTAAATTAAATTGGGATGGGTTAGTACCTACATGAGGTAACAAAGGTAAATATCACATATATGTCAGGGCAATATATGTTTTGTGAATGTTATGTTTGATTTCTGCCAACTTTTTATTGTTAGGGGAGATCACTCCCGTTTAAAAAAAATCTTTCTATAAATCATAAGCGAAACGCAAAACTGCAGCATATAAATACATCTTCGAAATAAGTTGTCAAAGCTACAAGATGATCTTCTTCTATAAAGATAATAGACATAAGGGGCAGGTAACGTACGCCAATTTTTACAAAACACACGATGTCATTGAGAATGCTCATTATATAGCCAGGCGCGATCCAAACTCGGGCCCCTATACACCCCACTCAAGGAAAAACTATTTGGGGCACCCGCTGATCTGGAGACCACAGTCCAGCTCATACACGAAGTTGGGCTTGTTGTTTAATCCTTCATCATATACTTAACTAAGAACGAAGAAGAAGAAGAATTGAGGTAACAAAATATACAAGCGATGTTTATTTTATATTTTTTTATCCTGTAAATTTAATGCATTTCACATAACAAATTACAGCTAACAAACAAATGACAAATTGTACATTGAATATAATATTTTATAAGCCCCTAAACTTTTTAC